CTGGCAGTCAGAGACCGGCCATGAAGGAAAGACGAGGTTCTAAGCCATGGAGATGGAGGAAATTATGATTATATTAATCATCCCAAATATTATATTTAACATATGCAGCCTGTTTCATAGAACTAACTAAAAAATAAAAAGTCAAATATAAGAAGAGAAAATAAACCAGGAAAGTTGTCTGCGGCGGTGGATCGCCCCTCCCTGATAGAGACGGAGCCACAATCGGACTCTCAGCAGATGAGGCTCTGAAGCTGAATTCATCTCAACAGCAGTTTGACTCAATTTACTGCGAAACCAAAGGGGGTCCAGAATAAGTTGGTCAAAAAAAGCAACTAGATATTTTACATATTTATTTATTGAAACATTTTATATCAAGTTTAGTCACATTTGTCAGCCAATGGTAGCAAAGGAGCGCTCTGAAACTAACAGTATTGGCCAATCAGATGAAAAAGGGGGCGGGCCTTAGGAAAGCGTGTTCCACCTCCTCTCGTTTCTTGCTCAAGTTGTCAGATTGTGGTTCAGTGCAGAAGTTCTACACAGAGAGTCACCATTCAACGGAGAGACGAGTAAAAAGTCAATAATTAAATAAATTAAACTTTGTGTTTTGGAGAGCAGGACGATAGAGAGAACGGAATGGCATGGCGCGGGAACCATGCAGGTCATGAACTCCGGCGAAGATGTCACCACCATAGATAAAGGGCTGAACAATAAATGGCGCTGGGCATGGCTGGAGGAGACATGGCCAGATGCCATTTAGCAGCTGGAGCAGGAAGTTAGGTCAACCAGGCGCTCGCTTCATGCTGCGCTCCAGGAACCTGAACTGCTTAACAGCAAAACTGGATATTAAAAGAGATGTGGTTAATGCAAGTGGTAGATATAGATGCACTTCTGCCATCTTCTGGCCATTTTTGGTATTGGATTTTCAAAAGTCAGATTTCATTTATTCATGCAATCTCTGATCCCATGCCCCCACACCCTCCTGGGTTATTTATGCTACGCCAGCATTCATAACATGTAGGCCAATCACTGTCCCCCAGACATCCGCCGTTATATTTTTGTATTTTTTTTAAAACAAAGCGGGGTGTGTATGACGTCATCCGCACGCCGGCTACCATCCCTTCATCCTGTCTGTTGAACTGCTGCTAGTTTTACTCACATGCCTGGAAGATGTCTAGTGCTGCTACCACCGATGACCTTGCTCGTTTTCAAAAGATATAAATATAAAAAATCTAACGGCGGATGTCTGGGGGACAGTGATTGGCCTCCATGTTCTGAATGCTGGCGTACCATAAAGAATAAAGGATGAACAGTTTAGTTTGTGCCTTCAAGTCGTTGCCCATAGGAAGACGTTACTTGGATATTACCTAAGGGAATATCTTCAGAACGGCTCCAAATGACACTAAACTCACATGGGAGAGTAGAACATGATGGAATAACGGAAAAAGGTGTTCCCCTTTAAGTAGAATTTTAATATCTACTGTTTGATAAATAGGGAACCATTGCATCGGTTTGAGAACAGATGTGATCTAAATGGCTCTGGGACCATTAAGACCAGTACCACTGTGATTCCTACCAGTAAAAACCATCCTTCTGTCTGAAGGTGGAATTTCCTCCCAGTGAAGCAAAGTAAAGATGTTTTGACCTGGAAGAAGATCTTTACCTCCAAGATCTGCTCCGCTGAAACTTTCTCCTCCAGTTTATCTCCTCCCACAGCTTCCAGTATGACGACACTGGGTAGACTGGTCTTTCTTCATAGAAAAGATCATTACAGACCATTTTGTTTTGTATTCACAAAATGATAATAAAGTTGTCTTAAGACTTGTTGGGTTTACCCAGCTTCATTCTATCTCTCTTCTACCCTGCAGAATCTGTTAGTTCAATCTCTAACGTTCTGCTCTCTCTGCTTTTTCTCATAGTAGCTTCATGTGGTCTGTTATTTACTCACTATAAAAGTTTTCACGCAGTCTGTTATCACCTTCAAGGCCACAGAATTCTGGCACATTTATAATGTTTTTGATAAAATCCTTTGGCTAAAATGCCATCAGAACACTTATAATATTAGGTGTGTCTCAGAGTGGGGAAAACGACAAGAAAAGGGACAAGAAGAGAGGGACAAAACCTAGAACAAATAATGCATGTGTGTTCTATTAATTCAATTCAATTCAGTTTATTTATATAGCGCCAAATTCACAACACATGTCATCTCAAGGCACTTTACAGTTCAACCAGATCATACAGTCAAATTGATACAAAGTTTTCTATCTAAGGAAAACCAGTTGATTGCATTGACTCATTGACTCAAATACAATCCCCCACACTAAGCATGCTTGTAGCGACAGTGGAGAGGAAAAACTCCCTTTTAACAGGAAGAAACCTCCAGCAGAACCAGGCTCAGTGTGAGCGGCCATCTGCCGAGGCCGACTGGGGTTCAAGGAGACAGAAGCAGAGATACAAAAAGCAGCTGTAAAAGGCGGCCCCGTCCAGGAAACACACAGCCAGGCAGACGAGCTCTGAGCCAGCTCCCATGCCAGAGGACGAAGAGAGCACATCCACTCAGTCACGGTCAGAGAAACAGGACCACACTGGAAAACAGGCCGATCTCCAACATCTATTAACAAGGGTGTTGATAGAAGCAGCACAGCTGATGTTTTTTTCCAGGATGACGTCACAGCCAAACAGGAACAGACGAGGCAAAGCTACTCTGAGGAAAAGCAGAGAGAGCAGAAGGTTAGAGATTGAACTAACAGATTCTGCAGAGTGGGAGAACAGAGAGAGAATGAAGCAGAATGATGAAATGGGGGTCCCTATGTCCTCCAAAAGTCTAAGCCTATAGCAGCATAACTATAGAGATAGCTCAGGATAACCTGAGCCACCCTAACTATAAGCTTTATCAAAAATGAAAGTTTTAAGCCTAGCCTTAAAAGTAGACAGGGTGTCTGCCTCACGGACTAAAACTGGTAGTTGGTTCCACAGGAGAGGAGCCTGATAACTAAAAGATCTGCCTCCCATTCTACTTTAGAAATTCTAGGAACCACTAGTAAACCTGCAGATTGAGAGCGAAGTGCTCTGTTAGGAACATTTCCTACATATTAACATTTCTCTATCTGGATAATGGGGCTGTTTCATGTGATGTCACACTAGGCCCCCTGTCTGTCTTTGCCAAGGGCCTCGAATTGTCTAAATCCACCCCTGGTTGCCTCTTTCATTGATTTGAGGCTTAATAAAAACAGGATATCTGGAAAAATCCAAGTAAATCCGCTGTCTAGGGGTCGAAAACGCACTATTGTATATTTAATCTTTTTATACTTAATAAAGTTTAGAAACAACAACAAAGAACTAGGGGCTCCATTATGGCTCTCTAATGCATCTCCCAGCGCCTCCGGAGCCAAAATGGCGCCCGTTGCCTTTTAAACAAGAAGCCAATTAAATTCACTCTAGTCGGGGGTTGGTCGTTTGGTGCATGGCGCGTGTTTTGAAGCTGCTCTGCTTGTGGAGAAATGTCCTGGGCCGTGAGTAGTGAGGAAACAGGAAGCGATTCTTGTGGGATGGAAGAGGGAAATAGTGACAATGAAGGTTGGAAGATAGCAACATCAAAAAATGAGAAAAAGCGGAAAAAACAGAGATCAGTTAAAGGGGAATCTAGTTCAGAACAATCCAGTGATGATCAATCCATACATTCCACAGCACAACAAAATGAATTCAAAGTCATATTCAAAGTCGTTAATCAGGCAGACTCTTTTACAAACTGGAATCCGGTTCACTTAACAAAAACCATCAATAAACTTGTTGGAGAAGTCAGAGGTGCCAGAATTCTGTACAGTGGAGACCTGCTAATTAACTGCAGAGACAGCGCCCAGCAAGGCAAAGCAATACGTATTAACAAAATTGACGGGATAAGAGTTCAGTGCAGCCTAATGGAGAACAAAAAGATCAGCAGGGGAGTCATTGGAGGAGTTCCTCTGAAAATTTCTGAAAAAGAGATTCTGGAAAACATAAGCGGTGCAAAAGTAAAAGAAGTAAAACGGTTAAAAACAACAAGAAACGGAGAAAGATCTGACAGTTTATCTGTACTAATTAAATTCGAGGAAGAGCAATTACCAAGCAAAGTATTCATCGGTTACATCAGTTACAATGTCAAAATCTACAATCCACCACCATTGAGATGTTTCAAATGTCAAAAATTCGGACACATTGCAGCAGTTTGTAAAGGGAAACAGAGGTGTGGAAGGTGTGCAGGAGAACATGAATATGGTAAATGTGGAAAAGAAGCTAAAATAAAATGCTGTAATTGTGGTGGAGAACATACTGCTGCTTATCGCGGCTGTGAAGCAAGCAAAAGGTCTGAAGAAATAAAAAAAATGAAATTTGAGCTTGGAATAACTTATGCTGAAGCTGCAAAAAGGATCCCATCTCAGTCAGAAAAACCCAAACCTACAGTTCAACACACGGCTAATTTCAAACCTCTAGAGAAATCTCCAAAAATTGATGAAGACTCACTAATTGTTAAAAAGACAAATTTTGTTCTTTTCATGGTGGAAGTGATTAATTGTACTGCTCAGACGACAAAAAAAACAGAAAAAATCAAAATAATAGTGAAGGCTGCAGAAAAATATCTGGATGTTAAAGATATGAACTGGGAGATGGTTGGAAGCATGATGGAAAGACCAATGGGACCATCAGAAACTGGCAGAGGTACGATGACCTAGAGTAAATTAAAATTATACGGGCAAATGTAATTTAGTATAATTTAGTATTATGTGGGTTTAAGTTACACAGGTTATTTTATTGTATTTTTTTTTTTTTTTTTTTTTTTTTTTTTTTTTTTTTTTTTTTTTTTTTGGGGGGGGTGAATCGTTTCCTGTTTCCTTGCTTTACTCCATATCAGTTGGTGGCGGTAATGCACATTTCACAAGTTTGCCAACCGCCATAAAATCTCATAAGAAGAAGAAGAAGAAGAAGAATTCACTCTAGTCTGTGTCAGCCAATCACAATCTGCCTAATGGGCGGGGTCAGTCCGAACCAGGAGGAGCTGATTTGGGGTGTTGTGAATTCGTGGAACCAACATATCCTGAGTGGGAGTTCTCAGGTCGGTTTGTTTGGTGTTTTCTCTGCCGGTTCGCTTCGATAGGCGACACACCAGGAGCCGCTATGCCCGGAATAGAGAAGCTGCCGTTGGAGGAGACGTTGGAGGACAGCCCGCAGGTAACTGCTGCTGCTCAGTGGAGCTCTGCTAACATCTGCTAGCCGCTAGCTAGGCTAACTGTTGGCCAACATCAAACATAGCGCCGCGGCTCATTGATAAACGCTCTTTAACCTCACGAGATCAGCGGAGATCAACCAACCGCTGCTGCCGCTGAGCCGCTAACATCTCCCCGCCATGATAAACCCTCATAGCAACCTACCCCCCCAAACCGCATCATTTCCGCTGGTCACAGCCCACGGACGGACACCCAGCGGCTCTCTGTCACTGTGGATGAAGCAATGTGAAGAAAATGTGAGGTGAAACACCTGCTGTGACGTTACAACTCGGGGTGTGTCCTACATCCTGTACCTTATCACGTCACGTATTTACTTATCATCCTCCTGAATCTTTAAAATAAATTCTTCTAATGTTTTATTATTTTACTTTTATTCAGTTTATAGAGAGATTATGGAGAGAAAGGTCCAGATTAGCCTGTAATCCCATTTCACCATGGGGCCAAAATAAAAGGCTGCTTAGAAGGAGAGGTTCACCCAAAATGTAGGATTTTTTTTTTTAAATGTGTTTGTTTACTGGATCCTCTTGGAGAACTCAGGCTTACATTCAAAGCAGAAATGACAGTTAAAGGAAAAGTCCAGCAGGGAATAATCAATGGATCATTATACCTAAAACTAATATGTTTGCAGTGATTTAAAGTCATATGGAAATCATATTTAAATGTCAAAACATTCTGGCTTAAACATGTATATAAATGTACTCTTTATCAGACTATATTCTCCCATAAGTTAGAAAATTTCTATTAAGATTAAAAAAAATATCTTTTTTCCGTTATCTTCTGCAGGCCAGTTAGTTCTACGTCAGCCTGAACACCTAAATTCGGCCAATCATATATCAACGGTCATCTGTCAATCACATTTTTTCGGTCATAGCATCTTGATTCATGTGTCGCAGCTAATATACACAGCGGTTGAAATCAGAATCCTTTCCTTTCCCATTGAGTTGCGTCCCAGTGTTCACGGGGATGGATGTCTGTGTCTTCAGCAGGCGTAGAGCTAACAGAACTGGCAGCGTTGCGAGGCAAGGGCTCAAACATGTACGGCTGGAAGCCTTCTACACCAAACCAAGCTTCTGCCGCCCTGGCGTCCTCTTCCACAACATCTTCGTCCCCGCTTTCCTCCTCTAAATAAAAAATGGATGACGTAGGAGACTCATCCACGACCTCCCACACTAAACTCTCCTCCTCTTGCATGTTTCCTCTGTCCATAGCGTTCCTTGACAGTGTCGTTTCTAAGTCACCAATTTAGTGCTACTTGGTCCCAATGGAATTTCCCATTGGGAACCTACTAGCACTAAGTTGCTAACTGGTTAGCTTCCGACAAACCGGCCACAACCAAACTTCCGCCACAACATCCCGCCCCCTTGATAAACGACCAATCACATTCACTTTATTCCCTCGTTAAAATAAAGTCGTTTAAAATATTTGACATGTTAGGCTGATATTATTATAAAACAGTTGTTATGAGATCACAACTTGATCTGAATGTTTGATTCTGATTTGAATAAAAATAAAACACCTGTGACCTTCAACTTGAACCTAGGCAGAAATGGAGGTGGCTGTGACTGAGGTGGAGAGTCCGATAAAGAAAAGTAACATGACAAATGAAAGGAAGCAGCATCTGATTGATGGACAGAATAATGAGGACATCCAAAGCAGCAGGCGGCATCGTGCTCGGCGCTGGCTTTGATATCTCAGCTTTATGGATACATTTGCAGAATTATTTTGTTCCTAAAAGTCACTTCAGTAAGAGTTTAATAAGATAAGACTTTATTGTTGTCACAATGGAGGAATTCACCTGACATCAGCTCTAATAAACAGGGAGAGAAAATATTCCTAGCTAAAAGCCTGGTGGGCAAACAGTGTTCAGATTTTTATAATTAGATGTTTCCTAATCTCTCTTCTGATAAATAAATTAACTTTTTATCGTTAATAAACTACAATCTGAAGCAACATTCATTTTGGGCTCATATTAAATTATCGAACTATACATTTTAAATGTATATCAGTACTTTTAGTTACCATAAAATGCTGGATATCTATATTTGTTATTATGTCTTTAGTGCTTTGCACCCCACTAGCCTTCTGGTTGTTGTACATTAGAGGAACAGACCTCCTCCATGATGAACAGGAGTACTGGGGGTCATGGCCAGTTCTAGACGGGGGCCAATGGGGGCCAGTGCCCCTGTAGATCATGTCCTGGCTCCTGTTATGGCTCCTGTTCTGAAGACATAATACTTAAAAGAAATTCTAATAATGATCTGGGCTGGAACAGAAATGATTACTTATAGATCATTTGGATCTATTTCATTGTTTCATTACAAATTCTGTTTTACTTATTATTAAAAAATAATAAGGTGATAGTTTCAGTGGTACTGAGATAGGATCCCAGTTTTCATCTGTCAAATGTTTTTGTTTTTTTTTCACACAAAAAAAAATGCTATAATTTTTTCAGATGAATTTAACAGTTCTTCTTGAGTTCAAATTTATAGAAAACTGTAGTTTTAACTTAAATTAAGTAAAAAAAATATGTAAATATATATATATATATATATAAATATATATATAAATGTATATTGACCTCCTCAGAAATTGATTTTTTATTTAACCTCATAGAAAAGAAGTTTCCCTTCATGCAGTTCTCTATATATTTGAATCTCTTCCCCTGATTATTTATTTCATGCTTTTCTGGGCCCCCATGAAAACACTCTGGCCCCCTCCTGGCCCCCTGGTACATTTGGTCTAGATCCGCCACTGCTGAGGGTCCAGCAGGTCGGTCTCTCCTGGACTAGACCCGTCCAGCACATGGATCCAAGAGCAATCAGCTGATAATCCAGTTATCATCAGGGGACAGAAAACCACGCTGATTCCTTAAAATGTTTTTCAGACCTTATGTTGTGTGAACACAAGCCTGACCAATCAGAGCCCTGATGCTTGAACTCCAGCCCTACATGGGAGGAGCAGAGACCAGTCAGCCTATCAGGAAGGTCGTTCAGTCTCCTTTAGTTAGGATTCATTCCCACAGTCCATTCACTCTGATCATGGAGGTTGGAAAGTTGTCAGAGCTGTAAACTAGAACTCTAGTTCTACACTAGAACTAAACTAGAAAGTCTGGTTGTCTCTAATTCAGAGCCTAATGATGCTAACTGAGGCATATCACCTCCAAAAAGCAAAGGGAAGCCTCCATCCAGGGCTGCACCTCTAGATCATTCGGAAAAAACACAAACTGGATGGGTGACAAGCAGCAGCCCTGGAGGAGTCCAACCAGAACCAGAACTGGATTCATACTGAGCAGAAGGAACATGTTTCAACACAAACACAGACCATAAAACAGTTCGTTCTTTACTTTATGATCATCAAACCTTTTAGAAACACAGCAAACCTGCTTTGTTTTTCCAAAACAGTCAAAAGAAGCAAGTTTAGTCCAAAGTTTGACTCTCAGCTGATCATCAGCTGGATTTGGAGATGTTCAACCAGTTCAGGGTTTTTATGGCTCATTAAAAATCATTAAAGGAGATCCACCCAGGATCATGATTGGATGCTGACTTTCTTCTTGTTTCCGTCGTTCTCTGCTTTTCGTCTGCAGACACGATCTCTGCTGGGAGTGTTCGAGGAGGATACCGCAGCCATCTCCAACTACTGCACTCAGCTCTACCAGGCCATGCAGAGGATTTATGATGCACAGGTACAAACTTACAAACCTAATACCTCTTAACTTTTTATTAGAGGAAGCTCATCATAGTTTTTGTTTTGCAGAATGAGCTGAGTGCAGCGACACACCTGACCTCCAGGCTGCTGAAAGAGTACGACAAACAGGTAGAAGAGGAGAACATACGTTTAGCTTGATCTGTCTGCATCGCCACGATGCAGGGCTAATCCTTATTAGGGTGATGTCATCAGGTATCTGTCAAACATGCGATATGTGGCCCAGAGGATGCAAACAGGACAGAGATCAGCACACAGGATACTCTGATGGGCCAACAGGGAGGATCGTTACCATGAAATATTAGGGCCAGGCTAGAGATGCTTTTTTCTATTTCGAGAATAAAGTGGTAAAATTATGAGAATAAAGTGGTAAAATTATGAGAATAAAGTGGTAAAATTATGAGAATAAAGTGGAAAAATTATGAGAATAAAGTGGTAAAATTATGAGAATAAAGTCGTAACATTACGAGAATAAAGTCGTAACATTACGAGAATAAAGTCGTAACATTACGAGAATAAAGTTATAAAATAACGAGAATAAAGTTGTAACGTTACGAGAATAAAGTTAAAAAATAATGAGAATAAAGTCACAAAATTACAAGAAGAATGTCGTAACACTACTTGAATAATGTCATAACATTACATGAAGAAAGTAACAAAGAGAATAGTCATAAAATTACGAGAATAAAGTCACAATATTACGAGAATAAAGTCAGAAAATTACAAGAATAAAGTTGTAACATTACGAGAATAAAGTCACAAAATTACGAGAATAATGTCATAACATTACATGAAGAAAGTCACAAAGAGAATAGTCATAAAATTATGAAAATAGAGTCACGACATTACGAGAATAAAGTTTGAAAATTATGAGAATAAAGTCGTAAATTTCCGAGAATAAAGTTGTTATATTTCGATAAACAAGTTGTATTTTATAACAACTCTTCCAAGTAGTCCTGTCTTCCCTAAAGTGAGGAATGTGGAGCATCATGTGAAGTTCTACTTTAGCATCGGTTTGATAAATCAGGAAATCTTTTAGCAGCAGCATCAAACTGGGCAGGATGTCAAAGTGGACTCTGGTTGCTGATTGGTGGAGCTGGTCAGCCTTAATCTGCTGGGCGGAGCTCCAAGCTTTCTTTCTGAAACGGGTTGTTGAATGATGACTTTATTCTCGTAATGTTATGACTTTATTCTCATAAATTACGACAACATTCTACAAATAAAAAAATCTCTAGCCTGGCCTTAATACACAGTCATAGGATCATCATTGTAAAGGAAACTAAACTTTTTAAATAAACATTTATAAAGTGTTTGTGTTCACCTCCTTCACTCCATGTCTATAAATCAATTCAGTGTAAACAACTGCCCTGATTAATTCAGCTGTGTTTAATTGGTGGTACATGATTAAAAGTCATCGAGTTAATTACATAATCTGTAATTAATGAATCAAAGTTTTTCACATTTTAATCAATAGCCATATATATATATAGAATAAACCACCTGTTCAATTAAAAAAACCTTTTTACTCCATAATTATTGAATAAGTAATTATATAAGCACAATAACTCATATATGTATTGGTTAACTTTCTGTGAAAAACTAATTCTACAGTCCAAGATCATCAATTACGTCACATTGTAAACACAAGATAAAGTTTAATTTCTATCACTGACCAAACTATGACCGTTCAGCTCTGCATTGAGCTTTTGAAGCTGAACAACCGCTATTCAATATGGAGCATAACCAGCTCCACAGGAAACACACAGCCAGGCTGACGAGCTCCTTAATTTATCACCTAAAGAGCTCGTCTCATCTGCTCTGCTCACAAGACAAGAACGTGATGATAGAAAAGAGGAGAATGTTACAAAACGTTGGTAACATGAAATAAATGACATCCTCTCTTTTTGTTTTTGCTGCTCTGTGCAGCGTTTTCCTCTAGGGGGCGACGATGAGGTGATGAGCTCCACCCTGCAGCAGTTTTCCAAGGTCATTGATGAGGTGAGCTGCTTTTTCTCTCCGGGGGCCTACTGGCTGGAATGTGTCCTAACGTCTTGTCTTTGTCCAGCTAAGCTCCTGCCATGCCGTCCTGTCCACCCAGCTCGCTGATGCAATGATGTTTCCCATCACTCAGTTCAAGGAGCGAGACCTGAAGGGTAGGAAGCACTTTTTCTCTACATCTGAAAATGTAGAAACAGCAGCAGCTCAATTAGAGCTCATGATCCCTACTAATCAAATCACAGATTTAGAGATTCTGCATCATTGAGTCAGCTTTAGTTTCATCTTTTCCATGAGTTTTAATTCTGTTCAGTTTATTTCTATAGCTCCAATTCACATCATGTCACTTTATAGATCCACATAAACCAGATCATCCAGTTATATTGATTCAAAGTTTTCTATCTAAGGAAAACCAGCTGATTGCATCGACTCATTGACTCCCTCACACTAAGCATGCTTGTAGCGACAGTGGAGAGGAAAAACTCCCTTTGAACAGGAAGAAACCTCCAGCAGAACCAGGCTCAGTGTGAGCGGCCATCATTTTAATGTAATCTTAGGTTCATTCTCCCTGAATGAGTTTTAAGATCCAGTATTACTGAGACAAAGCAAAACAATGTTCAGTGTGTCGCTTTTTTGCAGTTGCACAACAGAAAGAAGCTAATTATCTGCTGATGTTAATGGTCATTAAAAATCATTAAAAGTAATTATATAGTTATTTTTTAAATGGCATTAAAATTATTTAATTGTGATTATCGTGGCATTTAAAATGCTTTTAGAAATAAAAAGTTTCTAAAAACAATTTCGTCAGATACATTAGATGTAACTGGTTCCGCGTATTTGTTCGGAAAAGAAGCTGGAGGCGGAGAAAAGGCTAGAGAATGGGAAAATGCTCATTTCAACAAAAGTGGCTGGAAAACGAGGAAATCAGGACATGGCTGCAACCTGTCAATGGTAAAGATGATTATATATATATATATATATATATATATATATATATATATATATTAGTGCTGTCAATCGATTAAATTTTTTAATCGCGATTAATCGCATCAATGCCTGAGTTAACTCGCGATTAATCGCATTTTAATCGCACATTTTTTTCCTGATTGAAAATCATTTAAATACTCTCGATGACATACAAAAAAATACATACAGGCTAGGTTTGTGCCAATGTTCTTTTTTTAAAATGAAAACAGGTCACAGACACTGATTTATGCCATAGAAACATATGGCAAGAAGATGGGGAGGCATGTAGCAAAAAATAACAAATATGTAGCCAAAAAAAAGGCCCTGAAAACAGGCTGATGTAAAAGACAGTCTTTACAGTTAATACAGTCTTTTGAACAAAGACAAGCATTTTACCCTACCGCTATAAAATGCAGTAGAGTTAACATTAGATGTTAATTAACCAAGATAATAATGAACAATTTTCAATCAATACATCAAAATCAATAGACCGACATCACTAGATGAAGGTAGTCTATGCTCTAGAAAGTTACTTTTCAGCCTCTTAACAAAAATGAGAACACACACACACCCACTCAC